AAGATATATATACAGGAACAGTCTATTCATTCGGGTTGGAGGTCTGGATTATGGCTCAAGAAGATTCCAAGAGGAGGAGATGTCTGAGCCTAGAAAGATCTAAGTTTTTATGTAGGATAGAAGAGTGATATAAGGATGTTTCCAGGTAATCTACTTGAAAGTTGGAGTGTAAGATTTGATCCTCTTGAAGTCATGTCTTATCTTTGTCTCCCTAGAATCCAACATGGTGCCTGAAGTCTAGTGGACACTTGATAAATGTTTGATAAATTTAATATTCCTTCATTAGTCTTCAATAAACATTCCTTGGGGGATTTGAAAAACAAATATATTTAACCTCAGTTTTTTTAAAGATGGAAACTAAGATAGGGAGGTTAGGTCATCAAGATCACAGTGCTAGCCAATCATGATGCCAAGATAATCCCTACAGGGACAAGGACACACAGGCCAGTCCAAACCAAAACTCGGACATGAAGAACACTGCAAATCCTAGCCTTGCATTATTAGGGAGTAAAGCAAGAAATAAAGTAAAAGTTTTACATTGTTTAGCAGTTCTTATAATACCCCAAATACCAAATTTCCCTCTAATGATTTCAGATGTCAAGATGTAAAATTTTATTTTATAATGTTCTTGAATAAATAAGGGCTGGGGAAAAAAATGAGAGGGAAATATATTTGTTTGCGTGAATTGCTAAGCAACACCACACATGCCAGAAACGCCTTTTGGATTTCCTCTTGAAGGTGGAGACGGCGAGACCAATGGATATTTCAGCTTGTATCTATCTCAACAGTTCTCACTGGAAAATAAAAGCAACCCAGAAAACATGATTCTAACAATACAGAAGTTAGAAGCATGGGAATTACTAAGTATTAAATTGAACTGCACTGTTTGTAAGACTGGCTTTTTAAACAGGTGAGTGTGCCCCTTGGCATAAGGACACAGGGAGGAGTTCACAGAGCAAGTCCCCAGAAGAGCTTCCACACAGATGAGATGAAATCCAAGGGCACTCTGGCTGTGTTATCTATCCCACACAACACCCTACACTCTGCATGGTGGAAACTCATGACATGACATTAGAACTGTGGCAGTCAGAGAAAGAAAAATCCAACCGTGCATTTCGCTTTGTAATAAGGGAACACCTTTTATGAGAAATGGATTTTTAAGATGACTATTAAAAGAAGGAATTCTATGTATTAGAAAAGAAACTTAAGGCTGCTTGAGCAAAAAGCTAGAAATTCTGTAGGGGGAAAATAATGTTAAAGTAAAGCACAAAAGGGAACATTAGGAAACCAGAAGGGATGAATAGATATTTGAGCAGGAAATATATTTGAAAACAGGAGTTAAGTTTATGAAGCTTAGGTTAAAATTAAATTAATAGTGAAACTCTTAGAAGGTAATATTTAATATTTATTTAAGATTCAATGGACTAAATACTACTTGCTATATTACATAAAAATTGCCAAGAAGTTTTTGCATTACATTTCTTCTGATAACTTGTAAATAAAATTGTGCGTAAGCACACATTTAACACTAAATTTATGTATGAATAACATTTTCAATCAGTATTTTAAAGGTGAATGTATAGTCACAGGAAGACTGTATCAGATTTTATTTTAAATAATTGACACTGTTGGTGAGGGTGAGGGAAGACAGCTCTGGGCCTTAGTTTTCCTATAGGTCTCCTGGGTGCAGACTCTGAGCAGCTACATTAGACATTTTTAAAAACTGGATTTCTAAATTGTATTTTCCTGAGTTGTAAAACATATTTTCCAGATTAAATATTTTATTGCCCAGATTTCAAAAAAAATAATAATAATAAGTGACACTGCTACAAACTTACCTCTGAATGTTACTGACTACAGAATAAAATCTGTACTCCCTGACATGTAACTGAGGCCTCCATGACCTGGTCTTGCTGCCTTCCCTACCCAATCCACCCTAGATGATCTCTCTTCTGAACTCTGTCTTGTGCTATAAATCTTCACTATTGAGCTGATACAAAATATTATTCTCTCTTCTGTTATTATTTCGATTCAGGGCATGTGTCCATCCAGTGAAGAACCTGTCTAAATAGTATTTTGCTCGATCTAGCTATGCGTAGTAAAAGCATAGAATTTAAACTCAATAAATAGACATTAAATGAATTAATTTGCTAATTCCATTATTATTCCTTGATGTGTGTTTTTCTGTCAGTTCCCTCCTCCCTTTGTCTCTGGACAACAGATTTGCTAGCAGAATCTGCAATCAAGTAACCTGCCTGAATTGTGAGGCACTAAATCACTATTGAGGAAAAATATTCCAATATTTAAGATAGCATTTTGACCAGTGATTTAATAGTAGGTTCCTGTGGGCATATCGAGAGCTCCTGGGACTCAAAGGGGAAGTGGCAGGCTGTAAACGCTTAAGGAGCCGAAGAGTCAGAAGTCTCCAGTTTCAGCCTAAGGTCCAGCTCAGTGACTGAAGATGATGCCAGGGGCTTAGAGTTTTCATTAACTTCACAAATCCTTGTGGAAGGTGAGCCTTCCTCCACGAGGGCCAGGCTTTCTACCTGCTTCGCTGCTTTCTCTTACTTGTACCATTGTGTTTGATACAGAGTAGGTGCTCAGGAATAACTTTTTACGGAGTCCTGTTCTAGGCATGGAGCCCCTGTCCTCAATAAACTCACAGTCTAATTGGGATAAAGATATCCAAATAAGCAATTATAATGGATATATAAGGTATAAGAATCAATACAGACCTAACACTACTAGCATTTACCATGTGCCAGGCAGGGTTCTATATACCTCACTGCTACAATCGCAATGCTTGTGTCTCTCCAAAAATTGATGCACTAAAATCCTAACATCTACAGTGAAGATAGCAGAAGGTGGAACTTTCAGGAAGTGATCATAGGGATAAAGCCCTCATGAAAGGAACTGAGGTCTTTCTTTTCAAAAGGCCCAAGGTAGCTTGCATTAGCCAGATTTTCATTGTGATAGCAAAATATCTGAGAAGAGTCCCGTTCCAAGGAGGAAAACTTATTCAGGCTCACAGAGGTTTCAGCCCACACCAGTTGGCTCCATTGCTGCTGGGCTCATGGTAAGGCAGAGCATCATAGCGGGTGACATGGGGGGAGCAAAGCTTCCAGCACACGGTGGATGGAAAGCAGAAGGAGAAAGCGCTGAGGCCCACGTATTCCTCTCAGGTTCATGCACCCCTATAAGCAAACTTCCTTCCACTAGGCCCCACCTCTAAAAGTTCCACTGTTTCCCAGTAGCTCCACAGACTGGTAACCAGGTTTCCAATGCATGAGCCTTGGCAGGACCTTGAAGACCTAAACCATAATGTAACCTTCCAGTAGCTTCCACCATGTGCGGACACAGCTGGCAAGTGCTATCCGCATCAGAAGGTGGACTTTCACCAGACACCACATCTGCTGGTGAGTCATGACCTTGGACTTCCCAGCTTCTAGAACTACAAGAACGCTGTTGCTATAGTAATCAGTAGAGATGGACTAAAGCTCTTATATGTATCAAGTCACCTAATCTCACAACATTATAAGATGGGCACTGTTATTATTTCCATCTTTACAAGCAACAATTAGCGAAGAAACATGCCTAATATGATACAGCAGGAAGTGGAGAACAAGACCTAAAGCCCAGCCCCTGCCTCCGGTTACTTGCAAGGAATGAGCACATGGCAGGCCCCAGCCAGACTCTGTCTGACTCCACCAAAGATTCCTCTAGGTCTGGGATCCTAGACGATGGGATTGATGGTGACAGTGAAGCAGGGACAAAGGGGGAAATTCATAATACACTGGTGCTTCCCAAATGGAGGGTGCCTCCCAAATCTCTGAAAAGATCCAGAATTTCAGGTCTAAAGCCCTAGAGTTCTTGAACAAATAAGACCACTGTGTTTTAAGAGTGGATGTATCTTTAACAAGTGTTCAAGTGATGCTAGAGGTCTTTAAGTCATGTTTTGAAAACAGAGCTAGAGCTGTTCCCAGGGAACCTGTTGGCTCAGATTGTGCTCTCTGTTCACATCCAGCTCCCCGCATAGCCCCGTGTCTATTCAGGTGCTGTCCCACCATCTGTAGGAGTCTCTTGGATGACAGGTATTAGGACCCCTACTTGGGACAGTAATTGTCTCTGTTTTTATCTTTATTTTATCTGCCTCTTCTTAAGGCCAAAGCCTGTACCACACTCTGCTTCACAAGCCTGACTCCTCATTGGGTGCACCAGGAAATGTCTGCAAGACAAGCTAGGCCTGTGCTCGGGACCCGCAGCCAGCCTTCCCTTTGAGAAGCTCACAGTTGGGTAAAGGACAGTTAACAGCATAAACTGTGGGACCAAGAGATAGAAGCTATAAATTTATGAGTATGAGCAGCACATTGTGAGTTCATAGAAATGAGCAGATAATGCCGCACGAGCAGATGTGCAGCATGGGAAATCATGCTGGAAAAGTATCTTAGGAGCTGTCATAGCCCATAGGCTGACTTGTGTCCTCCCAAACTTTCAGGTTGAGATCCTAACTCCTACTTCTGTACCTCAGAACAGTACTGTACTTGGACTTGCCTTTTAAAAAGCAATTAAGGGGGCTGGGGATTTAGCTCAGCGGTTCAGTGGCCTGCCTTGCAAGTGCAAGGACCCCTGCAATCCCTGGTAACCCCCCAAAAAATAAATAAAAAACGACCTTAGGACAGTCTCATAAGAGATTAGAAGACCACATCAGGAATGAAGGGAAGACAGGGGACACATAAGCCAAGAGGAAAGGGGGCTGGGGATTTAGCTCAGTGGTTCTGCTGCCTGCTTCACAAGCTCAAGGTCCTGAGTTCGATCCCTGGTACAAAAAAAAGAAAAAAAGAGGAGAGGCCTCAGAAGAAAACAACATGCTGTGAGCAGATTAATTTCTATATCGTTCAAGCCCCGCGGCCAGTGGTAGTTTGTTAGGGCAGCCCAAGCAAGCTAACATACCAGCAGATCATCAAACCTTACTAAACCCAACTACACAGATTAAAGGTTACCCTCTGAACTGCTGGAAGCTCATAGACGCGTCGTGGCAGCAGTGTGATGAATGAGCAGCTTCGGTTCCGGAATACAACCCTGAAACAGGAGAATGGAGACGGAAAAGGACCCTTGGTTTCAACGTGGAATAACACTCACAGAGGTACCTACGGCCCGGAACGAAAAGCCGAGAGCCTATCAGGGCAGCATCTGTAGGCAGAAGGGAGGGACAAGATGTGGAGAATAGATGGAGAGCAGACTAACGGGATCAAGAAGCAGAGCAGGCAGGCCACCCCCAGCCTCAGCGGGGATACAGGGGAGACAGGAAGAGGATAAGACACTGAGCTTGGAGTAGGCTGAGCTTGAGACAGCTGCAGAGAGGCAGCTGGATATGCAGCCAGGGGAAATAAAGTTCCAGGATCAGAGCCTGATGCACGATCCCGTTCCTCAGAGGCCAGTGCTGGAGAAGGACAGGTGCTCCCCGCGGAAACTCCAGTCATGTTTGAGTCCTCAGGCCCAATCCTCAGGACGCCCGCAGTGTGGACAGACAGCACCGACACCAAAGCACAGCGGGGTCGGGGAGGAGGTGCGAGTCAGCCCCGGTTTGTCTGAAGTCTCTAAATGTGGGAAAGATGTCTTGGCCCACTCTAGAGATCCTCACTCAGCCCGATTTCACTAACTCACACCATCCCACTGAAGGGTCTGGGTCTTTCTCTCTTCCCACTTAGGTAAATCAAGGCACAAGCGGCTGGGGGTTAACCTGGACCCAAGCGTTATCTCCAGGACCTATTTCCCCGCGGGCGCACTCCTACCGAGCTGTTCACCAACGGAGAGTGAGTGGTGCACAGGACTAGGGCTCTGGGGGGCGCAGGGGGCACAGGCACTGCCGGGTCGAGGCCAGGCCAGGGCCGCAG